AAGAAAAAAAAAAAAAATACTCCGCTGGCAGTGGCACCCTCTGCGCGGCCGCTGCTGCGTCATGATCCGTCTCCGCATCCGGCCCCCTTCTCTTTTCCTTCACTAAGAGACTTCTGCGGAAGCAACTTGCAAGAGACAGAAGCAACAAAACAAAAATAAGTGAAAAAAAAAAAATAGCGGAGTGAAGAAAAAAAAAAAAAAAGAAAATAATAATAATAATAAAAAACATTCTATATATATATATATATATATATATATATATATACTGAGAGGTGGAGTCAAATTTCTCTTCACCACTTGCCTTCTTTCCAGCTCCATCTCACACACACACACACACACACCCGCTTCCCCAATATATATATTCCATAGATATGTTATATCTGTATGTATGGTAATCGCCCCTCCTTTTTTTCCACGCCAAATACCACAAAAGAAGATGTACACGTTACCTGGAGGGGGATAAGAAGTATGGGAATGTAGAGCAATTTCTATGAAAATCTGTCACTCACTCACTCACTCAATCGCCATACGATACCACCGAGAGTAAGCTCTCAGAATCCACGAGTGCATCGCAACCATTGTTGTGTGTGTACAATGGTCCTTCCGAGTCAATGCATGCCGTGACAGAGTCCACACGGCTCAGCACGTCACTGGAAAGGGCACTGCAATCGTATGAAAACTCTGAGCGCGGGCAAAGCGTGTGGCCGTAACTGACATGGCGACCCAATGTTGTCACGGCGCAGCGTAGTGCACTTTCCAAAAGAGCGTGTAGGCGTTGTTGTGTGTTGTCATTCCGTCTAGTTGGATAAAAAAAGTCCTGAATAGCCAGACGCGTCGACTGTATTGCTGCCACCGTCTTTGTAAGCCACCAATCCCTTGCCCTTGACTCAAGCACCGCGACACTCTGACACCACACATACGGCACGTCACAAAACGTCATGCACGACCGTGTGTAGCAATGCGTCACGGTACTATCCCCACTGTTTCTCAAGAGAAGAACGGGGTCCTGCTGCCGTGTAAAAGGCCTTCCAGCGACGGCACACAGGAGGCACCCGGCATGGCGGTGTACCACCGACACAAAACAATACGCGGAAGCGCACGACAAAACATCTGAGAACTGAAGCGACTCCACGAGCCGGCGGAACACCGCATCTTCTACGCAATCCTTTTTGCTGCAGTCAAACACATACAGGACAAGCTCGCTTTCCGATGTTTCCTGTACCCTCGTGCAAAAGTCCTCAGGGGTGCACTTTCGCGTGCTATCCCTCACGGCTTGGCTGCGTCGCTTTGGCTGCGCGAACCCCTCCAACGCCTTGCCAAGCTGTTCAGAGGCAATCCACATGTCAAGACCATCGGCACATTGTCTCCCTATCATATTCGCACTAACACTACCGGAAGACAACGCGCTGCAGCAGCGTTCATGTATACGAATATCTTCCTTCACCGTGAAGTTAAAAAGCATTCCACAGAGGCCACACTTCAAGACACCGCCAGCATTGTTTTGGCCAAAGTCTAAAGAAGTTTGCACAGCAGCTTGCGGGCTTCTAGCACCGTTGCGCATCCGCCTCATTTTCTCCGCGCAACGCAAAAAAGTGGGGGGACGACTAAGTGCCCCGTCGCCGATATTCTCCTTGTCGTCTATCTGCGGCGCTGCGGCGTGGAAAGCAACATCTGACGCACAATGACGGAGAGGCATTTTGCTTGTTGTTGCCGCCAACGACGAAGATGCCGCTGCTGATGTTTCCAGCGCCAGCGGGAGCCCGTCCTTCACTCCCTTTGTCGCCCCATGGGCCCAGGGATCGGCGGCGGGAGAAGCAGAAGCCACATCCAGAGCCTCCTCCCGCCTCTTGGAAAAGTACTCAAGGAGACTTCGCTGGCGCTTCATTTGTTGTTTTTCTTTGGTTTCGCTGAAGCATTAAACAAAATAATAATAAAGGAGGAAATCATTGTGGCCAACAAGCCCAACAGAGTTATCGGGAAAAGGGATCGGAGAGTGCAGCCAGCCAGCCCCCTTCCAACACACACACACAAAAAAGAAAAAACAGCCCACATATAAAAAGAGAGAAAGTAATTCTTCTCATCACCCATCGAGTGCATTAGGATGCCAAATTGGCCTGCATGTCTCTTTACAAAAAAAGGGTGTAGAGGCGTAAACACAAAAACACAGAGAGACACACACAGACACAAAGAGAAGTACCTCAGATCTTTAGCGTAGCTGTTTGAGAACAATTTCACGGTACTCGCTAAAGTCCCCGTCGAAGCGCCTGATGGTGTTGTTGGCGCAGACATACATCTCATCACAAAGAGACGTAATAAAGTGTTCGTCGTGGGAAATCACTAGCAAACCACCCTTAAACTCCAATAGTGCCTCAATAAGCGCATCCAGAGAGTCAATGTCAAGATGGTTTGTGGGCTCGTCCAACAAGAGCAGGTGCGGACGAGTGAAGGTGATCCACGCCAGCACAACACGCGACTTTTGGCCACCAGAGAGCGTGTAAATAGGCTGTAGCGCCTTATCACCCGTAAGACCAAGAGAACCAAGATGGGCGCGTAACATCTGGTCCTCCACGTGTGGAAACTTGGAGCGCATAAACTCAATCGAGGAAAGTTGTGGTGATAGAAACTCCAGGTGGTGCTGCGCAAAGTGGGCAACGCGGATTTTTTTGTTGCGCACAACATGACCCTGGCGTGGTTCCAGCTTGCCGTAACAAAGGTTCATAAAAGTCGACTTACCCACACCATTTGCCCCCAAAAGTCCAACACGGGAGTTTTCATCGAGGCCGAAGTTAACATCCTGGAAAAGTGTCTGGCCTGCTTTGTACCCAAATTCACACTCTACCATCTGCAGGTACGCTCCTGGCACGGGTTCCGGCTCGGGGAATTTAAAGGTAAACTGTGGATCGTACTTGACCGCCGCCACAACCTCCATGCGTTCAAGCATCTTAATGCGGGATTGAGCCATCTTTGCACGGTTTGCATTGTACCGAAAGCGGTCTATGAATTTTTGGATATGGGCACGCTGTCGTTCCTGTGCCTCGTGGTTCTTCTGTTGCTGCCGTAACTGTTCCACCCGTGTCAACTCAAACTGCTCGTAATTCCCCGTATAATAACGCAGTTGTTTGTCATCGAGGTGGATAATCTCCTGGCAGACATTATTCAAGAAGGAGCGAGAGTGAGAGACCACCACAAGTGTGCCACGCCAGTCTTTTAAAAACTGCTCAAGCCACAAAACGGCAAATAGATCCAAGTGGTTCGTCGGCTCATCCAAAAGAAGAACTTCGGGCTCCACATACAACGCGCGTGCCAACGCCACTCGCATACGCCAACCACCTGAAAGATTCTTTGTAGGAGACGACATCATCTCACGCGTAAAGCTCAAACCATTCAAAATGGATGACGCACGGGCCTCTGCACTGTGGGCCTCGATAGCATCCAGTCGTTCATACACCTCCTTAAGCCGTGTGCTTGCCTCATCATCGTCACATTTTAAAAGATCCTGCTCTTCTCGCAGCAACTGTTCACGTTCAACGTCCGCGGCAAGAATCACCTGTAATGGCGTTTCGTTGCCTGCCACCACTTCCTGTTCCACGTGTAAAATCTGCACAAAAGGACTCACGCCTTCCAATTCTCGCTCTGTGAGAGCTCGCAACAGAGTCGTCTTACCCGTGCCGTTTCGACCAACAAGACCATATTTGTGACCCGTTAAAATATTAAGATCCGTGTTGTCAAGCAGAACGTTCTTGCCCATGTGAATATGAATGTTTTCGCAGCGAATTTCACTGGAGTACGATCCTCCCTCATTCTTGTGGTGCAGTTTCACGATGGCGGTGGCATTGGCAATGCCTCGTTTGCGCAAAAATTCCTCATATTCCTCCGCCATCATTGATTTCTTCTCCTCCTCCTTTCTTTTTCTGCGTGTCTCCTTCGCTGCGTTGCGTTTCGTCTCCCACGTCCAGTCTGCATTTGTATTTATCATCGTTACTTTACCAACGTTATTTATCATTGTCGCTTTCTTTAGGTTTTCTTCATATTGCCGCCCAATACTAACAGCATTAACCAGACGACTTACATCCTCCTTTGGCTTCTGCGCCAAGCCCCGTGTCTCCATCTCGCTGCAGATCGCATCCACCGCCTTGTTCAGGGCGTCCTCACTGGGACAGACGGCGAACTCAGCGAGGTAGAGTTTGAGTGTGTGACGAATTGTCTCCTCCGGCAGGTACGATGCGGGGTTCATCTGCCCCTCAAGCATCTTCAACAGGTACTCGAGCACGCACTCATCCAGCTGCCGCAGACCGACCTCTGGCACATTGTCCTGAAAGACACGTACGACGTCGGGGTGACGTGCATCGAGTACGGCCTTCACCTGCAAAAGGTCCATTTACAAACCGATGTGGACAAACAAATTGGCCTCTTTTCTCTCCGTTTCACCTTCTCCTCCAAAAATTGTGGCAAAAAACAAATTCATGGAGAGAGGGGGGGAAAAGCAAAAAAAAAAAAAAAAAAAAAAAAAAAAAAAAGACAATCCAAATGCGCCAAAAAAAAAAAAAAAAAAAAAATACTTGTGGATAAACATACACCAACATGCACATAACTCGCCTCCTCCAGGAAGGGCACACAAAAAAAATCAGAACAACAAAAACAAGAAACATCCTTCACTCTACGTATCCATCGACAAGCCACGGTGCTCCAGCTCCGCCCTCCACTGCTCCTTCTCCAAGGAATACAACTCCAACAACGCTCGGTGCCGCGCATGGATCGTCTCTACTTTTTCCACTCGCTCCAGCTCCCGGCGCTCATCTCCGGCGGCGCCACCCGCCATGCGCTTCCCATTTTTGCCGGAAGCCAAAAGCAACTTTACATGAGCTCGCGCCTCTTCGTCCAACAGCCGCAGGCGTTCTTCTTGAATTACCTGGTCACGGATCGTGGCAAAGACGTGCTCTGGCAAGGTGTCCCGACGCTTGTTAACATCGTGCAGTGCACCAAATTTGCCGCCCGGACGCACCCCTGAGATGTAGGAGTCACGGTCTTTACCGCTGGGATAATATCGCATAATTCTTTTTTTCTCTCTCTCCCTTTTTGTTGTTATTTAAAACCCCAAAACAGAATAAGAACGAAGGAAATATATATGTACAGATATATATGTAGTCATGCACGCACAGTTGAGAGAATTCGTGGAAGCGAAGAAATCACCTGCACAAAAACAGAAAAAACAACAACAACAACCTCTCATGGCATATTCAAATATCCGTCCAATCTTGCTTATGCAATTCGTAGAACGAATGAAATGAAGGGAAAAGAAGTAAAACGGCCCTTCATTTCTCATTTCTTCTTTCCGTTCTTTACGCCACCACTTTTGGCACGTTGCGATTGCGTAGACGCAGTACCGATCTGCGGCACCACCTTGCGAAGCTTGAAAGCATCGCACTCTTCAAGGCCAGTATAGTATTTCGGTACTTTCTCCACCACTTCAAAGCCAAAACTCTTGTAGAATTCCATGGCACCAGATCCCACCTGCACGTGAAGCGTCACCTCCCGAATGCAAAGCTTTGTTTCCTTTGCCACGTTTCTCAGTATAGTATCGAGCAGGTGGCTGCCAATACCCAATCGACGATACGGCGCAAGCACAGCAATAGTCATGACGTACAAACGATACTCGTTCTCGTTCGTTGTGCTCTCCAGACGACACGTGCAGCTACCGACAAGCATGTCATAATATAGTGCAATCTGATTGTACTGATGGCCACACGGCCGCAAGTACGTATCATAGTAGGAGTCCGAGTACTTGACGGCAAGGCAGTATTGGTCTAGGATGCGAATACGCTCAACCACACGAGGGTCGTCCAGGGTTCGGATCTGCAGACCCTCCACGGGACGCAGCTCAGGACCCACATATCTACTTTGGTTCACGGCGGCATTATTGGCGGCGACCATGAATATTTTGTTTTATGTGCTTTCCTTCTCGTTCGATTTGTTAACCCCGTCGTTTTTCTTTTTTTTTCTCTCTCCCTTTCCTTCTTTATTGTTCTTGTCGTCTAAAGTCGCCTGGCGACAGCTCTGAAAGGAACAAAAAAAAAAAAAAAAAGAGAGAGAGACGGGAAAACCAGAAACAGCAGCAGCGATAACATCCAAACGCCACTCCGCAGCAGACACACACACACACACACACAGTATATATGTATTACAATAATAAATACCAGCCAAAAACAAACAAAGTACCTGCAAATAAATTACAACAAAACGACGTTGTCCCCCTCCTGCGGGAACACATCAGATTCCGAGGCTGCCACCAACACCATCACACCCCTCCGTCGGGTAATATCCAAGAGTCCATTCCAGCTACGCAGAGAGGCGTACTCACAGTGGGAAGAGGGAATTGCCGCCAAGATACGTCAGCGGCAAAAACACACACAAAAAAAAAACAAAAACAAAACACGACAACATCATCATCATCGCTGAAAGTCGAATCGGCAGTTAACTATGACAATTTCAATGTATTCTGCTAATTCCTACTCTTTCTTCAGCGTGCTATCTTGATCAAGGGACTGGCGTATTTTGTCAAGTACACGCTCCTCTTCCGCTCGCCGAGCATCCTCTGCCATCTCAGAATAAAGCCAATTCTTCAACTCACCCGCAAGTTTTCCAATATCCGCAGCACGCAACCCTGCGATACGGCCTGGAGTCTGCTCCTCCGTCTCACCGTTCGTCGTAAGAAGAGACGTATCGTCATAATCGCCACTCGTAGGGGCAGCACGCGTATCATCCACAATGACTGCCTGTATCTCTACACTGGCATCATTTACATCTGCCTCACCCTGTACAGAGCGCGATGACTGCGGCGGTGATTTCTCCTTGATCTTTCCTGATGATTGAGTGATCTTTGCGGTCACCGCAGTTGCTAACTGACGATGTGCACAACGTAGTTGTTGACGCAAATCGGCTATTTGTGCTTCGTACACAGCTTTCAGTCGCTCCTGCTCTATAACCATTGCATCCACGGTATTGTGCGTATGCATGTCAACGACACGAGCGCCACGTTTCATTTTATCAAGACGCCCTTTCAATTTCTTTTCATTCTCCTCTGCTGAATTCAACTGCAACCTCAGCCTGTTTATTTCATCAAGCTGTGAAGTAATCACCCGCCGGGCCTCTTTTAATTGATCCCCGATAGTTTTGTTGCGCGTGCGAAGATATTCATTTTCCTTCCGCATATCCTCCAGTAACAGCTCTGCCTCGTGCAGCTTACGCTCCACGGCGTGTGAAGGCAGTATAGCTAAATTTTTTGATGTTTCCACAGCGGTCGTTTTCTTCGTTTGTGGCTCCCTTCCACTTTTTTCAACATTTAAGCTCGCAAGCAACAACTCCTGTGAAAATTTCCGATTCGTTTTTTCCGGTATTTTTTGCCGCTGCGACTGTAAAGAGCCATACTTCGGCAGATTATGATCGTGGATGTGGTTTTTTTGGCCGCATTCGGATAAAGCCGGCATGTCCCCAGCAGCAGTTTGTGGCGCTGCCTCCCCTCGTGTCGAGTAACATTTGGGTCTAACTTTCTTTGAGGGCGCGGCAACTTCTGTCCCTCGCGCAGCTCGCTCTTGAAGGCAATTATTCCCAGCTAGAGTGCCTTCCATTGGCGTTGCAGGGGGGAAAGTAGCATGTGTCACGGCGTCGCTCATGGGCGGGGGAATCGTCCTTGACGTGTCGAGTGAGACTGGCGCCAGCGTCAACTTTTGAACCTCCTTTGGGGTCGAAGGACATGCCGTCTCGGCGCGCAGGAGGGGCACACCATCCAGGGAAAGCACGGACAGCTGCAGGCGCGCCACAAGAGTTCTATATCCATTCATATTAGCTACAGGGTTTTCTCGCAAAGAAAGCATCTCCAAGCATGTTGTGGACGACAGAAAGTGAAGTTCGTTCGCGTTGTCTATTAAGTTATGATCAAGACTCAATAAACGCAGCTGCGCCATGCTCTCAAGGCCAATGGTCGATACAATACGGTTTCCTCCCGCACGGAGTACTTGCAGGGGCTGCGAGCGCGAGAGTCCCATCAAGTTCTTTAGGCAATTATAGCTCACGTTCAGATCACGCAAGTGCGGCAGCGAGCCGATACCCTCAAGCGACGGTAGACTGTTGTGGGACAAATCCAGTTCCGTGATTGTGACAGGGAGAAAACCGATTCTAGCGATTTTATTGTAGCTCACATTGAGCCGTGTTAGAGCCGTCAGTGCGTCCAGCTGATGCAGCTGCTCAATATTGTTGTGTGATAGATCAAAGGAGGTGATGAGGGCGAGAATCTCCCTGTCCTGGCGAGTCAAGAAGACCGCGGCAAGATCAATTTCCTTGATATTCCTGCTCTGCCCAGAAACATGCATCTCCGTCGCTGAAGCCGCCGGCTGGATAACGGAGTACATCACCTTACATGTACTGCCTCAAAAGAACACAAAGGCAAATCCAAAAAGCAAAAAAAAAAAAAGAAAAAAGAAAAAAGCGGTAAAGGTGATAAAGATGTCAACTCACACACCATTCACATCAAAATCCTTTCATTCGTCTTGACTCTTTGATTTGCTTTTCTCCAAAACTACTGTTCTTTCTCGAAAAAAAAAAAAAGGTCGGCTCCCACCACCAATACAAATGTAGATGAAAAGGGGGAAACTGTGCCGTTTCAGCTTAGACACATACAGACACGCAAAGAGAGAGAGAGAGAGAGAGTGGGTCAGTGAAAAAGATACACGCAATTCCTCCATCACCCTCCCCCTCTTCTTCTTTATGAAAAAATATATATATGTGTATTTCGAGCTTCAATACACAACGGTATCAAGCTGAATCGTCTATAATGGGCGTCAGACTACGCCGGTGTCACAGACGCCAGGAGGACTGAAAGATTACGTGCAAATGGTGTCGCACCATCTTGAACCACGGAACGACTCGTCGTCTGTGGCGTCACAGAAGCACGCTTCGTCGACGGGCAGCTTAGCGTATAGGGCGGTCGTGATTCCGCCCGGACAAACCACACCTCGTCTTGCTCGTACTCCTTCTGTTCCAGAAGTCGATTTTGTATTTCATCCTTCAATGCACTCGTGTGGGCTGTAGTCTCAGGAAGATGCACCGAAGTCTGCATTTCCTTCCGTAACTCCACAATTTCCCTCTGCAACCTGTCCCTGTCTTGGGTGACACTCAGGACGAGCGTTTGCATCGCCTCACAAACATCATGGACACCTGTTGGCTCCGACTCAATGTCAAAGGTGTCGTCCGCACCCTGCTGCACTAAAACCGCAGATTCTTCATCAGCGCGAGCGTACCATAATTGACGCCGCGTCAAAAGTTGCTCAACTTCTTCTGCTGACTCAGCCTCAGCAATTGCAAACGATGTACGCTCAGCTTCGTGGATAGAAGCGCAAAGGGATTTCCAATTCAACTCGCGTTCAATAGTCTTCTTTGCAAGACGACGAAGACGCATCTCTAGTTGGTGAACATGTTGTCGAAGGTTTTTCTCATTTGTATGCAGTTCAGCCAGCTGTTTTTCAAACTGCTGCTGTCGCCTCTCCATCTCTGTCTCCAACTTGGACAGATCCACGCATGCCGTTGAAGCTGCCACACCAGGCGAAAAGGAGGAGGGAGACACCCTCTGGAAGTCTCGAAGTTTTTTTGCAATAGTACCCGGCGTTGACGGCAATTCGGCGGTTGCCTCAGAAGCAGAATTACAGTTGCTTCCAATATCAGCGCCGCCGCTGTGACTGTGATGATTGCCATCAACAATTTTTTTTTCCAGTCGCTGCCACTCCATGGCGGCTACGTCACACGCCGTCACAAGACGTGTCTCTATCACATGATACGCTGACACAATGAGCCAAAGCCACCTCTGAGCCTCACGCCGTCTCCGTGGCGAGTCCCGCAGAGCGTCCAAAATGACGCCATGCAAAGAGGTAGCCGTTTCATGAACATTAACAACCTCGCCCGTTTCTGTGTCCACCACATCTTTTAACAATTCCTCCGCAAAGGACCCTGTCAAGGGGATCTGATTGCAACGCTCTTCTCTCGTCTTTTGAAGAATGCGTCGCAGGTACATCAGTTCTTCCTCTAATATAGCCACCCGCCGCTGCTCCTCCTCCAGTTTTTGCTTCGTCGCGTCTTTTCCGTCTGGCATGGCCGAAAATAAGTTGGCTGACTTTTCTTCGCCCATTTTTTCCATTTTTGAAAGCAATTCCATTTTCTGCATCTTGAGCTTTTCACATTCTTCTGATTTAGCAATAAGGGCTTGTTGAAGTTCCACTTCACCTTTCACTGCATCTGTGTCCATTAATTCCTTTTCCCCTCTTGTCGTCTGACTGCTTCTGCTACTGATACTGACACTGCGATTCCTTTCAGGAGCCTTCCCGCTCACAGTCTTCTCTTTGCTGCTCTTCCTCCTCTTGTCGTGGTAATGTGGCTGCCCGTTATGTGCTGTGTCCATCACCGGGTCGTTGGATACGTGTTTCGCTCGCACTGCCTCGTCGTCCAACAAGGGCTGCCCAACTGAGGTCACTTCTGAGTCAAAACTTAATTGCCTCTCAAATCGCGCCCTGTTATCCTCCCCAGACGCAAAAAGTGAAGACGCAGCCATGCTCTCTTCCCCTTTTTGTACATGTTTTGAAACGGTTCGGCGTTTTCGCGCCATGGCAGCTTTGGAAAGCTGCCCCTGCAGCTGTGGTGGCACGGCGTCAAGGGGCAAAGCTCCGCCCACAAAAAGAGCAGCAATGGAGTCAATGGACTGCAGAAATTCCGTGAGCACGTCAGACACGTCAGCGGCAAATTCCGCAGAGAAGTCCGTGCGTTTAGTTAGGTGATAAAGGAAGTAAAAAAGAACCAGGGCCGAAAACCCCTCCTTTGCATCACCTTCATGGATTGCGCCCTGGTCCAGAAGGTTCTGTGGAATGCCCACTTCGTCCAGTGCGGAACGCAGTGCTGCCCAATTTATCTGAGTACGCTGTGACAATGTATGCGTCTGAGGCGAGGCGGTGCGGATGCACATTTCTGGAAACACCAAGTTAAAAAGATTGCACAGAACGACGCCATCAGCCAGGTCCGTGTAGTCCTTCAATCGGCATGACGAGTACCGTTCAGCAAAGGCAAAGAGCTCACGCCGACCAATGAGTACACTCATTTCCACCACAATTCTTTCGTGCTGAGCTTGTTCGACTTCCGTTTGTCGTCCAGGGTTGTATGTATGTAAGTGTGTGTGTGGATGTCGCGGCTCCCGTATGCCTAAAATTGCCGCACGATAAGGCCAAGCCCCGCAAAACAAAACAAAACAAAAAAACAACAACAACTAAATTCCAGTAACGGTACGGATGGCAGCGTCCAACACTACTCGGGTGCACCACCTACGCACATGTCAAGGAGGTGTTGTTGCGTTTATTTAAAAAAAAAAAAAAACAATGAGAAAATCGCCAAAAAGAACAGGAAAACAGCAATGACACATGAAAAACCATAAATTTTTGGACAATCCGTAGGCACCAAGTATTCAACTAGAGTTAAGGACAATTTTGTTGTTTCACCGTCCCACAAAGGGCCAAAATTTAAGTTTTTTTTTTTTTTATTATTGTTTTCCGCATCGTTTTTTGCCGTGGACGCGGTCTAAACAGGCACCACAGCTTCACTTGCTGGTGTCGTTGCTTTTCCTCCCCATCCCTTTTTCCCATTCATTTCCCTCTCCCCCCCCCCCCTCTCTCTCTCTCTTTCTCCCACCCCCTCTTTCCTTCAAGTTAAGTTTGCCGCATCAACAAAGACAAATCCCACGTCATGCCAGGTTCGACCGGAAGATGATGTCCCGTGTTTTCTCCAGGTTGAAAAAGGTGTAGTTCACAATGACCTCATCCAGCCAGTTGACCAGCGGATCATTTAAAAAGTCGCGATCAATGTAAAAAAAGACGGGCATCTCCACCAGCTCCTGTGGCTTAAATCGCTGCTCCTCGAAGCAGAAGCACTGAATCTTATTCAAGTAGTTCGTGGCCTCTGGAGGCGCAATGGTGTATGACGAGACGCCCAGCAGGGTGCGATTGCTGCGGTTGTACGCGGAGTAAAAGGCAAGTGCGGGCTCCCCGATGAGCACCTCCACCTCCTTCTGCAGCGGCACAAAGGCAATCGGCATGGTGTTGCCTACATCGCTCAGGAAGCGAACCTTCAGCAGCTTCTTAGCTATTGGGTACGACTTGTCCATCTCCTCGCGCTCGCGCTGCGCCTGCGGGGTGTAAAACTTTGGGTCAGCGCCGCGTCCTGTGGGCGCGCAGTAAATGCGATAAAGAGGAACAAAAAGGAACGTGCAGCCAAGCGACATAATTGACATACTCGCGAATGCAGAGAAAAACTGTCCACGTTCCTCGTAATGCTTTTTACCCTCTCGCTCATAGCCGCTTTCTATGCGAATCCTACGGGGCTTTCCACCGGCGCCCTTTGCGGCGCATCGAAGAGCCCATGAGCGGCACAACATCACACGCCGGAGTCGCTCTTCTCGACTCTCTTTCTCACTGCCTCAATGCTTCATTCCCGCCATCCACCGTCAAACGGATAGATAGAAAAAATAAAAAAAAAAAAACAAAAAAAAAAAAAAAGAAAAAGAAATAAAGAAAGAAGGAATCACAGTCCACAAACATAAATAAATAAATATAAGCAGGGAGCAATAAAATAAGTACGGCATGAAGGATGGTGAGAAAAAAGAAAAAAAAAGAAAAAAAATAAATAAATAAAACAAATAATTTGGCACTCAAACTTGCTTCTTAACGATCCGACTCAAGAGGGGAATCGGCCAGTTTGTATTGTAATTGGTGGTCCCCCAGTTGCGAAAGCGGTTCCCATCACTCGCAAAAGTAGGAATCCTCAATTGTCTCTATGGATTTAAAAAAAAAAAAGAAAAAAAGGCAACACTTCTATGCAAAGCTCTTTTTTTTTAAGGATTCCTGTTGTCCTTTCTTTCTATGAGTCCCAGCGGTCTTCACGTCGGTGCCAACAGCAGAGGAATGATAAACCGATGCCATCCTTTTTGTCCTCTTCTAAAAATGCTATGGTGGAGATTTTCGCTCCCGGATGACATCTTCTTTCAGGGTGGGCGTAAACATTGACCGCTTGAGACTGTCACCGGTCATTAACCGCCGCGCTGGTGTTGTCTGTTCACTCAGAATTTCCTCCGGCCTCTCTCCCACCTCACGGCTCAACGTGTAATACTCAAATGGCGAACGAAATAACGTGTCACGTTTGACGCCGGGATGAGTGGCCACAAAATATTTGTAGCAGGCACGTGTGTAATGTTGTCCCTTGCAGTCCTGCACAATCTCCTCAATGTCGCTTGCGGAGGGTCTCAGAGGAGGATGCTCCTTTCCAAGCGGATTTAGCTGCTCCTTCAGCAGCATCGACCGAAAGGCGCCCTCGTCCTTAAAACGAAAGGGGCAACCGTGACAGTCAAACCGGTCAACCACAGGAGGGAGAGCCAGCAGTGTTGCACACGACATGGAGCTGTAGCTTGTCTTCTTGCCCTCCATCCCGTAGTTGTGGCGGATATTGTATCCATATGCCGTCTTGGCAAATGCCTCACTATTCCCAGCAACGCCTTTAACAGTCATTAAGGAAGAAAACAAAGTCATGGAATCCTGCAACGAAAGGCCAATTGCCTTCAAGAAAAGTCCATAAGTGAATCGTCCGTGATGCTTTAGGTGCCCCTCGCGACGAAGATGCTCATCTACCTGACGCATGCACAAAGGGAAATGAGTTTGGGCAATACGGCGCACTTCTCCCGCACTCACGGCACCAGAGGCCGCTTCCTGTATGGCGGACGTGGGATCGGATACAAAATATTCCAAAAATGCGTCTAACATTCGCATAACTGTTTCACGCTCTTCATCGTCTTCATTGGATGTCAACCTCATCCGTGCCAGGTACGCCTCATGCAGGCCTTTGTTCAGCTTGGAACGAAATACCGTTACAAACACTTCCTGAGCCTGATCCCTGTGAAGAATGGCATGTCCCTTGAGGCAGAGAACACTACGGGTCTTTATAAGACGTGTTGCTAATGTCATTGGAACAGAAAAATAGTCCTCGCGACTGCGGGATTGCTGTTTCCCCTGCAACACTGCAAAGTACACAATGTATTCCTGTAGTAGCGGATCCTGCCACTGCTCGTCAGAGAGCGGGTCACACGGAAGGCCATTGTCACGCATAAGGCTAGGTAAAAAGTCTGTTTCATACTTTGCCATCTGCAATTTCAGACGAGCACGAAGAAGAGCCTCCTCCGTTTTCACAAACCACTTGCGCCATTGCTCGCTCATACAGAACGCAAAACGTGCAAGAAGATGAGAAATAAGGTCTTCGTCCCCTTCAAATAAGACAGCATTCAGAGCAGCGGAGCCTGACGATCGTGAAACAGAGAGCCGCGGGGTACGAAAGCTATCCGCATCATCTGCAGCGGGGCTATCATCACGACCCAGCACCACTACGTGATCGGCGGCATGCTGTGTGACATGTTTTCGACGCTCAATTGGAAGCCGTGCCCCAATTTCGTCAAGCACAACACTAAAACTCCTCACATTCGGCGAGTTCATTAACTGGTCGATCCATGCAAGTAGCTCCATGCGCTTTGCCACCATGGCCTCCAGTGTGAATAGTGTGCTGGTGCCAGCAGGCCTACGTGTATACATGGTCGCCCAATCAAGGACGGGGGCAGCAGCAGCAGCCTTCACATCACGCGGCCTCTTTTCGTCGCCTGCAAAGGACTTTGCGGTGGTAATGATTGCCTGCATTCCGCCCTCACGCCACACAACGCCAGTTGAGCAGCACTGCGAGACCCCGCCTCCCTGCTCAAATTTTCTCTTCCTTTTTTTTTTTTTTTTGCCGTCTTTTTAGCATTTCGACGGTCCCGTCAACGCAACACGCAAAAATACAAAAATAAAAGAAACAAACAGAGAAAAGAAAATCCAAAAAAACGACAAAAAAACATCGTATGAAAAGACAGTGAAACCGCTCGCAGGCGACAGCAACATGCACAGCTGTCGTTAAGTTGGCGGAAGAACGGTGAGAAAAAATAAACACCACAGCAGCAAGCTGCAGCATACAGCAAATAATAATATATAAAAAGAAGCAGATAAATGCATACATTACAACGTTTATAGCAATAATCGGCTCCCACCACCACATAATAATAATAATAATAATAATAATTGTATCCACCCACCCATAAGATACGTCCAAATATATAGAAGAAAAAAATGTATGTATGTATACATAATAATAAAAGCTAAACATCTGCGTATACACATGCGTATATGTCTACGCGTGCAGTTTCAAGAATCAGAAACACAGTTTGCAAATACATTCGTTGCAGAAGGCTTGAAATAGAACATTCTTCAAAAAACATATATATATATGTTGTAATATTAGAGATAATAAAATGAAAAAAAGAAATGCGAATTTTGTCAGTTCATCCTATCTGCAAGCCTTCTAAGACCGCTATGGCGCAAAGAAAATAACGAAGGTTCACGTCTTTTCATGTCATCTTTGGATTCTCTTACGTATGTTTGCACTTCTTCTGCCAGCTCCGGGTCCCATTTAGCAACCAGTTCATTTGTAAGTGCCACTAACGCTTGGCGACGCTCGTACAACTTCCGAAACTGCTTGTGCTTCGAAACAACAGACATGAAAAGTGGTAAAGCCGCCCGTAGCTCAATCACGGCTTCCTGAAGAATCAACAAGGAGACGTACATCGCCATGGGAAGACTAAAAAACACAGTGAGGGCAGTACGAAGGTCTGTGTAGAAAAACATAACGAGGGAAACAAAAGTGAATACCACAGGGACACTAAAGAAACCCACAAGCAACTTATACGATCCCTCCACGTCGGCCCCCACAACCTTCACGCTACTCTCGGAGAGGGCTTTTTTCCTGTGACGCTGCGACAAGTGACTCGCCAAGAACCCAATGGGAAGACCCACTACAAAAAAAGGCACAAGAATAACGCCCATCAAAAATAAAGTGAAGGACCGACGGAAAAGAAGTTGTAGCTGCTGTGCCTCGGTGGTTCCCAATTTTCCAAGTGTAGCGGCCTGACTATCACGTACAAGTAAGGCGTTGCAGTAATCTTGATAGTTTTCCACACGGTTCCGGAAGTCAATGAATTCCGGATTGTTCTTTTGTGCCTCCATGATGGCATTCAGACGACGAGCCAGGCGCAGGTAGTCTCGCGTTGCCAGAGTACAATTCGGAGGTTGATACAAGTGGCGAAACCCATGAAGAAAGTTCAAAGCACTCCAATTGGGCACATTAATGGTAAATCCGCGCAGCTCCGCATTGAGATGTTCCAAAAATATACCTGTAGCCTTACGTTTATCCCTACTAAAGAGCTCCACAAGATCCTCCGAGGGCGTGATAGGCTCGCCAAATTCAATATGAGCACGACTCCGAAACTTGTGACCATAAAAGTACGTCAACCCACATGGAACCACCTTCACACTGATGCCTCGCTCTGCCGCCCCAAGACTGAAAAGAGCCACACCGGCCTTGAGTGGAAGAAGAGAGGTGCGGTCATGGGAACCACCCTCAGGGAAAATACCGATACATTGATTTTTTTGCAGTGTCTGATACACGCTGGCGTACATGGTGGAATGATCAATGCGGCGTGATACTCTAAATGCTGTGGGTTGTGTAACGACGTTTGACGCCAGAACAGGCATAGTGAGTTCCAACTCAGTATCGGAGATGATGCAATGGACTTGTGCCGTGCAATTATTTGTCCCCTTGCCCCACATAATCACATCGCCGTTCGCAAGTGAAGTGTGAAATTTGGTTCCTTCCCCGTGAACAATGGCACCATTCATACGCAGCAAAAATCCCTCTCCAGGCGTGATAGGAACGTCTTGTGGCCTAACCACTGGAACAGTATGCATCATTCGTGCAAATTGCCCAACAATGGGTCGGTGAAACGATTTCTCCGCCATTATAAAACGCACGGGTCTTCCGCAATTGGCTCGAATTATCATAGCATCAATAAACTGATTTTGATGGTTTCCGTAGAACACCACTGCCCCAGTCTTTGGAACCATTTCCTTGTTCACTACCGTCACCTCACGGAAGTAAATATTCATAAGAACCCACATGAAAAAATCAATGAATAGGCTTACAACAAACTCGTGAAATTTGCTTACACGTAGAGAAAGAAGCCTGACTGAGCGGAGACGGTCGCGGTGATCGGGCCATTCGCCAATGGGAATATCATCACCACAGACTGTGCACCGCACAAATTTATTGTGCTTTGTCACTTCAATGCGATCCTTTACGCTACTCTTTTTCCTCTGAAGACTTGGACTCCGAGCGGCTTCACCCATTTCAGCATCCCCCGCACCCGTTTTTACTGAAGCTGACGCCTGATCTTTTCGTTGTGTCTTTCCCGCCTCCTCTGCATCTTTTTCACCAGTAGGCACCGCTTGTGCCTCATGAAGCTCATGTGGTTTCATATGGGTGCCATTATCATTGCCTTTATTTATAACCCCTTCCAATTTGGAAGACGAGACATGTTTTTCTGCAGACCCGCTCATAATTCCCTGCCTATTCCTACCCCCCTCACTTTTTTTTTGTTTAATTATTTTTTTAACGTGCTGCTTGTTTCCCGCTAAAAATGTGATATCTTTTGGAATTTTCCCCTTGAATTTACCTCTCTCCCTCACCTATTTCTGTGGGCGCCCAAAAAAAAAATATATATGTATATATATGTATTATATTATTGTCCCCTTGCTTCGGTGCCTTCGTTCGAAGCTGATGGAGAGAGAGAGAGAGAAAGGGAGAGAAAGGGAGAGACACGCAAAAAGTCAGCAATAAACGGCTCGAGTCACACAACTGGAGCAGTGCAGAAAAGTAACAGAAAAAAGTAAAGAGAAACAAAAAAGAACAAAAAAAGAAAAAAAAAAAACAAGAATATCGCGGAAGCGCAAGTTGGCCCCTACCCCTCAATTCAACGCCGTCTGCGCGAGTTTCACTCCTTTCTTGACTCCGCCAGTTGAGCCACTTTGACAGCAAGAGCATAGACGGAATCGCCCTTTTCGCTCTTTTGGGGAATGCTCATCGCCTCATCAAATCGGTCATACGCGCTCCTACCGTACATTTGGAGAATTTTCTGCGCCCCTATCAATGCCACAGGTGGATACGGGTCCGCCATGACGGCCTTCCACGAGTGTGCCTGACTGCTTCCACCCACGGGTTCCAATTCGTCCAAAAAAGAGGCCAACACATGCCGTGCGCGACAGACAGAAAACATTTGCACCGGGTAAAGGGATCTGTAAAGAGCCCATAGCACACGTGCCCCAATATCATCCACAATGGATTGAGCCGTTACAAGCTGCTCACTACACAGCATCTGTGAAATATCCGCCTCGGGAGATTTATTTAAGGGACCATTCTGAATAGACATTGACCCAATTAGACGGTAGTAGAGCCGCATCACAGTCTGGACGTCAACTACCTCCGTATCGAGCAAAAACCGCAAGATCAACGTGCTAAACGGCTCCACCGCCTGATTTGCGTGTTTCCGTCCCAGAAACATTAGAGAGGCTAAAACATCCGGACACACGCTCCTAATTTTTGCCAGCTCGAGCCGATCCGTTGACCCGGAAAAAGAAACCAAATTTGTCGCCAACGTCTCAATGATCGCCGTGCTTCGCTCATTTCCCAGGTTCTCTTTACTGAGTCGCATGCAGTAGAACGCCATCCGCCAGCCAATGTTGTACAAATCACCATCCGTATCCTCTTTTAACATGGCTGGAATCATAGACAAGCAGTCTGTGAGCACTGTTGCAAGATCCGCACGTTCTTCGGTTCGTGAACCTAAAGTGTTTCTAAAAGCATTCATAATAACATCTGGTAATCGCGCATCCTCCTCCACAATCTGTAAGATACACTCAACAATAGCAACTGCCTCTGTTTTATACTCCCGCATTTCCTTAACGTCCATATCGTATGTAATATGCCCTGGAAGCTCACGGAAGACTTGATGGGACTGGTAAAAAAGCAGCGAGTGCAGGTGCCAGTGAAACCCGACTTTCACCAATTCAATGTAGCAACGCCGCAGAACTCTCGGGTACAACCTTGAGAGAGAGGATCGACTTTGAAGTACAGTCACCGCATGTGTAAAAAGAACCTGAAAAAAAGCCAAACGAGCACCCAACGTCATTGACTGACGGTACAAGTAGAGCAGCTTGGCGACAGGCTGGTGGCCCAACTTTTTAAATTCCTCCTCATCCAAAACCAACACTTCTTCCGTCGCATCACCAGCGGGGTCCCAACGCAAAATTCGCTTTGCAAAGGCTTCCGCAAAGGTGGTGTATAGATGAGGATGATACGCAATAATAATGGGAAGAGATAAGAACTGATACAGTGCACGAACATCAATGAGATAAAGTTTGTGGGGAGGGATGATGGCCAGGGCACACTTCGCGGCAGCCGTCCATACCATTTCATCACTACTTTCATGAAGAGATTGTTTACGCAACACGGTTAAAAGCATCCAAATCAATTCCTCTTCAAGAGCCTCTGAACAGCCTGGAAATATTCCCTGCGTATCCACAAGTTGAAAATGTATGCCCAATGTTAAGAGAATGTCGTATACATGGTTTCGAACACAAGCGTAAGTACTACCCATTAAATCAAACAGTGTCGGAAGGTAACAGATACTAACCGAGCGGAAAAATGAGTAATTGGACTGCAAGGGAATCTTCGACACATATGCATCGCACATTAATTTAATAAGAAACGATGTCGCTCGAAGTAGAGCCGGATTCGTAGTATATTTTTCCCAAAAAGAGTTCAACACCCGTACTTGCTGATCAATGACCGCCTCCGTGCATTCCAGCGGAAGTTGATTCACATAATCTTTGCATCCAACGACATGATACTTCACTGTCCAAAGACCGCTGCGTGCTCTGTTTTTTTCCCCAGCAGTCACTGCCAGTTCCTCATTTGACCAGCTGGAGAGTGGTACAATGCGCTTTCCCTTCTCCGTATGCTGCGCTATTGGAGGCTGCAGGGTGCATTTTTGAATGTAATCCGGATTCCTACTTAACTCGCTCTGACGAAAGATAAGTCCTTCCTTTCCTCGTGGCAGAGTGCGGCCAAGCATGTAACTTAGCGGTTTATGATGAAGGTATGTATCGATAACAGTCTTCAGCTCTTGGTAGATACCACTGTACGGGGTTCGACTAGTAGCATAGGGTCTGCACTTGTTAGCGATTGCCTGTAGCGTTGCCTGCGATGGTGGGAAGCTGGAGATGCAGTTAAGAATCAGTTGGCCCACATCGCGTCGCCTCTGGGGGTCCTCCACCAACTCCAGGCAGCACTCGTAGACCAGGTTGCGTGTCTCCTGGGAGGTCAGTCGCTGGTACAAGACAGATCTCTGGTAAACGACATCCAATGACTTGTTCTTCACGCACTCCATCAAGATAGCTGCCCGTATGGAGTCCTTCTGCACTTCAGAGGACTTCATCTAGTGGGTATCTTTTGCTTTTGTAGTAAAGAACTAGATAATCCTGTTGTTCTCCTCTTCCCTCGTATGTTCGCACGCCCTCGTCCTCGTCCTCACAAAAAATAAAAAACAAAAAAAAAGGTGCAAGTGAAGAGAAAGAGCAAAGTGTGCAGCAAAAGAAAAGCTAATACAAACGTCCGCGCAAAGTGACAGAAGGACGGTTATGGAATTCATGTTTCTTTTTATCCCCTGATTCATATATGCCGTGCCATTATGATTTGGCATCACGACTTGTTATTTTTTTTTTTTTTTTTTTTTTTTTTTTTCACGACGCCTCAAACCGAATATCCGCCACATGATGGAAGATCTTTGGTGCGTACGACTTTACCGTGCGCAGCGCGATGATGTGCATCAAAGACGTGACATGCTCACCCAACTCCGATCGAATGTGTTGCTTGGCTGTCTCCTCAGCAGTCTTCTTATCCGATAAAAAGTGATAATGAATCGTGCCAACAGGGTCCCCATGCGGCGATTGTTTCAAGAAGGAAATGGCTCGCGGCAAAAAGGCCGTGCACGACGGGATGTACCCCATGAGCACCCGATCACACTGGCCACACAGCTCCGATGCCACCTCCCTATTATCACCACAGTAAGTGCGGATCAAGTGCCCGACCCGGTTTTGAAGTGCGTTGTACTTCAAAAACCCCGCGCTTGTCGCATTCTTTTCCAATGCATGAATAACTTTCACAAAGCCGAACACCGCAAGGGGTAATGTGAAGTAACCGATACCCGCAAACATGTCCACCACCACTTCATCTCGTGCCTCAATGGTGGCAAAGTGCATCCGCTCCGTCCCATTGCCGCTGCAGAACATCACCTTGCAGACGTCAAAACTATATCGGATGCCATTCTCCACATGTGTTGTAAACGTCGGTGAATCCGCGTAGGCCTCAAACTGCTTCAAATCCTCCGACAAAATATACGACGGCTCTTTGAACTGTTTCAGCGCGTATTTTAGGGATTCTCTCGGCATTGTTATAAGAGTCGCCTCTTTTGCCCACAGCGTAACTAATTTTGGTAGCCGCAGCTCCCCAGTGATGCCCTCCGTGTCGAGCAACACAACATCGACAACACGCGGGAAAAAGGACTCGGCAAATGCCTTGGCGTAGCACGCGAACTCCTCCTGTGCCACACCGGGGTTGAGCTTCACGACAACCACGTGACCCAAAAGTTCAAACCGTCTTGGAAAAAGACGTACAATATCTGCCATCTCTGTTGCCGCCGCACCTTGTTCCTGGGCCTTCTGGACAAAAAGGTCGACTTTCCTCGGCACCAGCCGCACCTTTTCCCTCCTTTTCCCAACAGACGTGTTTTCTCCCCCACACTTCCGTCCGAAATTAGAAAAATGCCCGACCCTCAACACATATCTTCGCAGCAACCATGCGATAATCGCCCCAATGATGACGACAAGGATCTTCTCTCTTGTAGAAATACTCCTCATGTTTCCTCCGCCTCGCTCCTATCCCTGTCTCCCAGTCTCCTCCCAGTTCCAATCCCACACCCCTTGCAGTAACAGAAATGAAAGAGTCTGTGTCACGCATGCAAATCTGTACAGGTAGGCGTTGGATTTCGTCTGCACACACAGACACAGACAGAGATAAGCTGTTTTTATTGCGACAGATGAAACGCACAGGTACAAAAGGATCAAGTATTACACATGTGTAAACATAATGTATAAAAACGATCAATAAACGGAGGGGTATGGTAATGTAAAAGAGTATAGTAAGATGGGGAAAAAAAAAAAAAGACAAAATGAAGCATGCAAAAAAAAAAAAATAAATAAATAAATAAATAAATAAATAAATAAATCAAAGATACACACGTGATTAACTCAGAGAAACAAGTCCAAGCGCGTTAGTTTTCCAAATATTGAAAACGACACACTCAAAGACATGGTGAAAGAGAAAGAAGCGAATAAAACAAAAAGCCGCTATTTCTCCAGTGATGAGGTAAAATCAAAAGAAATACCCGCGCTCTCCGGTAATTTTAACACGCAGATTTTGTCTATTCCACTGTAAATATACTCCCTCTCAATGAACAGTGTATGAAACGTCAAGACACCAACAATGCTACATCCATTTAAAAACTCCACACGAATATCTTGTGAAAGCTTTTTAAAAAAGTCATTATTTGCAACATTTACAGTAGTGAAATGCGGCGAAGATTTTATGACCTGTGCGTTGCAACACCGGGAGGAATTTAAAGAAATGACACAAACCCGTTCACAGGCGTACCATTTACACGATGTGATTGTTACTTTGGCTTGAATGCCACGTATATGAAACTGGTGGATGTCAACAACCGGAACCTCCGCAGGAACCTCACCCCCGTACTCGTTTCGCAGTCGTTCGTAGTATTCTACGTACCGTAACTGACTTGGAAGTGTCAGTCCGCGTCCATCAAATGTCCGCTGAATACCGTAGTAACTGATGGCATTCTTTGCCAATCCACCAATCGATGGCTCAATCTCCATCAGTAAACAACATGTGAGCAGCCCAGTTCTACCTTTCCCGGCCTTGCAGTGTACCACAACCACGGCCTCCTGCGCGTGGTCAGCGCTTGTAATATACCGCACAGCATCCTCCACGAAGCGTGGTATCATAATTAATGGACAGGCCCAATGATCAGGAAACGGAAATTCGCGAACTCGACCATGAAAAAAAGTTAAGTCATACCGATATTTCGGCTCCGCACAAAGATTGTACACCATGTAATCTGTACCATACATGTGGTCCAGATAGCGCAGGACATCCTTGTAGCGGTTTCTATAAAAAGATTCTATTCCTAATGCCGGAAAACCCATGCAAACGATACGCCTATGAATTTGTACCAAATCCAAGTCCACAGTACCGCCCGGAGCGTCCTTGTACTTAATTCGCCTCTTCTTGAGGCTAACAGCGCGGCGTGCAGCAATACAGCAGAGCCCCATTTAACGGGATATTTATAAGAAGAGACTATTTCTTTTGAAAAAATGCTCTTCTTTTTGACCAGCAGGGCAAATGCATTTAATCTCAGGAAGTCACATATATATATATAAATATATTTATACAATCATTTCGATAAAAACATTTCAACAAACGCATGAACTTCACTTATAATGCCACCGAACCCACCCCACCCCTTATTAACATCACATATTCATCAACATTCACTACCAATTTATTAATTCAACAAAGAAAAGAGAATTATTGCAAAAAGGTACACTCAAATGATTCACCCCATTTCTCTTTTTACTTATTTTGCCACCATATATATATATATATATGAAAAGGATAAATATAAAGGCATTATAGCGGCGCATTCACGGTTTCCCCAAGGCCTACACGTAAAAATGTTTCCCTTCCCTCCTTCCGATACATCCATCTCAATTCATAAAATGAAAATGGGTAGTCAGTTCCTTAATTTATTGGCGTTTCGACGTCCCCTATCGTTGTTGCTTCTGAAATGAAAGGGCGGCGGCTTTAGACTCCAACTGCCAAAGGACATTCGACACCGTTCGAATTCGGTATTGACCCTCAAGATGACGTTGACGCGGTGTCAAGGCCGAACCATGGGCCTCATGACGCGGGCCAAGAATTCTCTCACGCTCGTCCTTCCACCGTTCCTTTTCCTCCCACTGCTTCTTGACAATATCAAATGTTGAATCTTGATAACGGGAGTCCCCACCGACATTTTGAGAGAACTCGGTGGGAGTTTCGTTTGAATCCTTCGCATGCCCCTGAAGTTTTCTGATCATTTCGCCAAAAAAGCGCTTTTCCACAATTTGCGACGCACCACTGAGGTCCAATGGCTCCTTTTGGGAGGTTTTGGCCCCCTTCCACATTTCCAGCATCTGCTGCCTTCTCTGAACTCTCTCCTTGGCACGCTGCGCCTTCTCGTGTGCCACCTCCTTTTCCAGCTTTGATGCATGCAGCAACCGCTTCTCTTCTAGCAGACGCATTGTACGCTCTCTTCTCTCGCGGAGCAACTCTCTACGGTGGGTGTTCGTTGGGTCATGTTTCCCATCCCTGCGAGCCTCCAATACACACATTTTCCGGTGTCTATTTGCCTCGTACAGACGATACTTTTGCTGCTCATCATCGCGACTGTGCTCCTCTCGAGCTCGCAGCGTAGAAAGATAAACCATGAGAAATTTATGCCTGCTAAGAAAACCTCGAACCACTTTCTGAATGGATACGGCTGCTTTGTGCCGTCGTTCCTTGAGAAGAGACTCTCTACGCTCACGTTCAGCCTGTTCTCTCACGCGTCTTTTTTCTTCCTCCTCTCGCTGCATTCTCAATGCCTCTTCTCGAATCCGCTTTTCCTCCATAATTCTCCGGCGATGCAATAACGCGTAATCACGAAAAAGTTGCCCGCGCGCCAAACTCCCTCGGCCCACCGCCTGAAACAAAAAAGAAAATCGGCAGATCGCCTGCTCCCGGCGATGATTCAGCTTAAAATAAGCTTCATGTTTCATAAAGATTTTCGTCTCTCCAAACTGAACTTGTGCAGGATCGATATCGCAGTTCTGTACAATTTCTCTAGATGCGACCTTCCCGTGCACCCCGTTCTTGAACAAAACGTGATACCGTTTCAGGAGATCATCGTACTTGAAACGTATGGGATAACCCGCCTTTCTTATCCGAACTGTTTCCAATACTCCTGCGGACCGTAATTGCTGTAACACCAAACCGTCAGAAAATTGCCTACATTGCTTCTCAGCGTTAGGCTTGACGCATCTTATCCAATGCGGGTTTGTCTGGTTAATAACAGCCATCAACTGCAGGAGTTGTTTAATAAACAACCCTCCAACCGTTCCTTTCAAATTTGTTTTGACTTCTTCCTTTGGAATGATCTCTGGAATCAATGCCACCTTCGATTGCATAAAAATGTGTTTCATTCGCTCTTTCAATGTATCTCGGTTTTTATCTAAAAATCCCTCCACATTGTACTGAACGTCCGCAGCATAATGCCGAATGATGAAATGGTTATCGACAGCACGCCCAGTAGCCCGTAAAAAGTGTGCGTTTCCACCCTTGCCCTTTGTGGGTGCAAACTTCTCCATAAGTTTGTGAAGATAACTTGTTTCGTTCCCACTCACGGCACACTCTTCGTCAAGGAGTGTAAAAACACCAACCTTTCCCATGAGCAACTCAACACACTCTTTATTGTCAACAAACGTCACATGTGTTGTGTCAATTCCTTCATTCTGGCATTCCTGCATGTCCAATGTGAAAATATGTTGATTGTAATGACCCTGAAGAGCCTCATTCGCCAAATTGATACACAACTGTTCAAAACTGTTCTTTTGAAAATTTTCAAAACCAAAAATATCAAGAAGACCTATCCAATGCGTTGTAACGGCCTCCCGATTAGTGGTTTGATTAATCTTCGATACAAGCCAATCAAATAACCACACATACAAACTTTTACAGACCGAATCCCTTATATCCAGTGCCTTCACTTTGTTCAAGGGTTTCACCGTCTGCTCTTTTTGAGTAACGATACAGGTGGAAATCAACTCCTTCATAAATTCTTCCTCATTGATTCCCCACAGCTGACAGGCACGGACCAAAACCGGCAAAAGATTTGAATCCATTTTTGCAATACGTCCAGCGCGTTCTTCGGACTCCACAAAGTCCGTATTTTGAAGAAATACAACTCCCGCAACAACACGCCAAATCGACATTTGCTCTTCTTCTGTTATGCCTACATCATCCATCGCCAGTTTCGTGGATGCATACTCTACGGCATCATCTACACCATCGATATTAATGCATTCTCCGGCATTAAGGATTCGATACACTTTCGGGTTCCTCAATGAAAATTCCTTCGCTAACGGCCCCTGCACAAGTTGATAAAATGAATGGTACACACGCTCCCCTGTGGCGGCACCAATAATTCTCGACTTTTCCAACAAGTACTTCGTCGCATGACACCCCACCAAAATGCCATGTTTATCAAATTGAACTCGTAAGAATTTCCCAAAACGAGAACTGTTATCATTTCGGACCGTCTTTGCATTTCCAAAACTTTCAAGAATCGGTGATGACGCCAAAACACGTTTGTTGATTTGTATGGAAATTTCTCGATCCTCCGGTGTTCCATTTTTCGTACTTAATGCAGCCAAATACTTCAATACAATCTTTGCGGCTTCCGTCTTTCCCGCCCCACTCTCTCCACTAATGAGAATTGTCTGATTTCTACCACTCTCTCGCACTTCCCGGTAGGCGTTGTGCGCTGTGGCCCACGGATGGGGTAAATTCTTCTCGATAACAGAGCCCTCGGAAAGGTAATCCTCCATTTTGACTTCAACATATGCGGGTATGAAGTAATTGAAGGGGTTTAAAGCCACAAGAATAGGCCCAATATTTGTGTATACCACATCTTTCAAATAACGTTTTTTTAAACAAAATAATACCGACGCTTCATGAAGCTCTACGAGGTTAAGAAGATCATCGAAATCGTCATTTAGGGCATCTTCCTTAGGAAACCATAATTTACTCGAATCACGGGGTAAATTATCAACATTTATAAATTCCGGCTCTGTCGCAGAAAAACTGTAAGTGTCTCTTAGCGGATCGTAATTAGTAATTTTCCCAACAACCCAATGATGTACGGGTGTGAAGTATACCGCAAGAGCGCCTATGCGTCCGGCAGGCATACCACAAACATCGAATGTCTAAAAGGCTGAAAAGCAAAAAAGTAAAAAAGTAAAAAAAAAAAAAAAAAAGTACATTTATTTATTTATTTATACATGTAAGCATGAATGCATGCAAATAAGAATATATTTATTTAAATATGACGCGTAAGGAATAAATCATAGCAATCATGGCGGTAATGGAAATAATAAGAAATAATAATCAAATAACAACACACGCCTTGGGTAATCACAATAAAAATGCTCCAATAGCAGAATGAATTAAGAAAAAAAAAAAAAAAAAAAAAAAAAGAAGAAGAAGGAGCAGAAGAAACAGTTTATTAACCCTCAAGAATAAACGAGTGAATTTTAAAAATCGCAACCGTGTTAAAGTCAACAACAACAACAATAAATAAATAAATAAATAAATATAAAAAAAGATCCAAAATAATTCAAAGTGTCTATTTCAACAGGCAGCTCAATTCAGCTCAATTTTCATTTCTTTTTTCTTTTTTTTTCTTTGAATTACGCGCTCTGATTACTCACTGTGAGCATATTTATTCGTATCCTCCGCTTCTTCTACCACGCCACCGTCTTGAGACTGGGACAGGGGAATTTCTTCCCATTGCTCCCCACCGGGTAAATCGGTTTTTACCACACGCATTGGATCTTCCATTTCCCCTTTAATAATTGCGTAAACTTTTTCCGAGACAATTCGCCTTACGTCCCTAATATTGTCAGGAATGCAGTAGAGCTTTTTTAAACTCACCCACTCCACGTCGAGACATAATCCCTTTTCTGGAACTATTTGTGCCGTAGAATCTGTGATGTTAACTTCAACGATGCAGCCGCTCACAACAAGCGCGGTCCCCAATCTCAGATAACAACATGAAACTCCTATCAATAACTTTGTCTCTTTGCGAGTGGTGGGAACTTCCTGCACCAGAGGGTGTAGACCAAGCGATTTTAGTTCAATATCGACATAGGTAGAACTATACATACCCTTTGAAGATTTGGTTAAAATCTCACACGCAAAGGGCGAGCGCAGAAACTTCATTTGCAGCAAATTATCAATGGATGGACTTCGTCTTCGTTTTCCCCTAACCCAATTTTTACGTTGTGGTTCATATTTTAACGTTTCCACTTCCTCTGTGAATTTCAACTCCTGTGAAATAATATTTTTTTGTACCATCGGCATCGAAGGCGTCGCTAGTCGGCCGTTATAGCGTCTAGGAAAAATCTTTCTTCCCTCGTTGCTGCTTTGATTGCGGAGCAGCCTCATAAATTCAACCAAAGGAACAGCATTCTTCCTGGAAACCGTTCGATTCTCAAACATGCAAAAAACCTAGCATTAGCCAGCGGGCATAAAAATCAAAAAAAACACAAAATTGCTCAACCTGGCAGCAGCAGCAGCAGCAGCAGCAGCAGCAGCAGCAGCAGGTAAAACATAATAAACCACAAGACGGGACAGAAAACAATAAGAAATAAAAATAAAAATAAAATAAAAAAATCAAAATATTCGCCAAGGCCGCCGAACGGATCCTGCGGCTGTCAATAGGATTCACACAAGAAGGGAATGAGAAGGGGTGAATGGAATGGGGACGGGGGTTCGCCAAATCCCCAATGGGAGTTTACACCAAGTGAGCGCATATTTATATATGCACATTATGGTGGCTACTATCGTAACTTGATCGCTCCATTCGGATTGGACGTGCATGTACATATATATATATATAAGTGTGCGTGTGCGTGTGTCTATGTATTCACAACCTAAAAAGTGGAAGACTTTGGGCTCCTCCAGCCTCAAGACCCCGCCGCAAGGTAAGAACCACAAAGGGGGCGGGTGGGACGGCAGAAACAAAAACAATTAAAACTCATCCAGAAGTTATCGGTTCCCTGATTGCTACCATCGGGGTCTTCTAAAAGATTCATAAAATAGGAAAAACTCCCAAAGAAATATATCCTTTCAATCAGGATATACATGTATTTGGGCAGCCAGCCTTCCTCGCGAACATTCCGTTCACAAGCTCCTAGTCTTCTGCTCGTCCACACACTTCATTTACCGCCAATCGCAAAACACACATAATAGAACCAAAGGACCATCACACAAAGCCGAGGCAAATAAATAACAATGGAGGAAATCACAACTCACACGGGCACCTCGCACACACGCACACACAGCCTCCCTCCATTCACTCCACCACTCACAAGGGTGAAGACATGGGTAGGAAAATCCCGTCGCACCGCAACGAAGGGCCATGGGCACAGCACACCCACGGCCGCAACAAGAGGGACGGGACGCATCCAAGTACACGCCGCAGTCCTTTACTTGTCGCTTCCCCGACGGATAGGCATCACGCCTCACAGCAGGTCGTGGCGGGTGGCATCCCACACTCACAGTGAGGCACGGCGCACACCATCCGCTCCCCCGAGTGCACTCAGCAGGCCGGCGCCCAGTCACCCCCGTGCCCTCGCAATGGGGAACACAAACAATTGTCGTCGCGGACCATCGGTACCTCTAGCAGGAAAGAAATTAGAAGAAATGGAGGCATTTCAGCAGCACAGCCAGCAGAGAGACAATAAAAGGGACACGGAGACACACAATGACAGTGAACACGGCACAGACGGAAAGAGGTGTAACGATTTACCAAAAAGAAAAAAGAAAAAAAACATAAAAACAAAAGAAAAAAAAATGTGGGGGCCCGGCAGAACTCCCGAAAAAAAAAAAAAAGGAAAAAAAGAAAAAGAAACAAACAAACGAAAAAAAAAAAAAAAAAAA